ATATAACATAAAAGCTATTATTCCCATGGTTTGACAAACCAAATAGTTGTAAGATTTTAAGGGTGGAATGCTGCATAGTCCTGATTCACTGTGAGGGGAGTTTTTCTAGATGTGATCTATAACTCCTTTTATTTCACTAGACATAGCACAAAGCTAGTAGCAAGTAAAGAGCTCAATACTCCCAAGAAAAAGTTGATCGAAGTGGAGTGCATCCTTTTGGACTCATGTCTCTGCAAGGAAACCAAGAAATGTCTGGCCTGTGGACTGCAGCCTTCAATATGGATTGAAGCTCAATATCAAGAAAACAAGGATTCTCACCCCTGGGCCGACTGGCAGCATCGTGATGGATGGTGAAGAGATTGAGATTGTTAATATCTTTAGTTTGCTTGGCTCTGCAATCAACACTCTTGGTACCAGCAGCCAGGAAATTGAAAGACGTATTGATTTGGGAAATTCTGCTGTCAGAGGCCTCTCCAAAGTACTGAAGAACAATGATGTCAGTCTAGAGACTAAGGTGTGCCTGATACAGGCCATGGTCTTTGCGATCACTTGCTAAGCATCAGAGAGCTAAACAATGACTAGGGATGATAGAAGGAGAATTAATGTCTTTGAGCTGTGGTGTTGGTGAAGAGTATTGAATATACCATGGACTGCTAGGAGAACAAACAAGTTCATTCTGGAGAGAGTGAAGTCAGGCTGCTCCTTGGAGGCAGGGATTCTGAGCTTTGTCTGACATACTTTGGACATGTTGCAAGGAGGGACCAGTCCTTGGAGAGGGACATCATGCTTGAGAGGGTGGAGGGACAGCGCAGGAGAGGAAGACCCTTGATGAGGTGGATTGATTCAGTGACTGGGGTAATCGGGATGGGTGTGTCAGAGACAATAAGATTGGCACAGGATAGAGCAGGATTTAGGGCTGTTGTACATAGGGTCACTATGAGTCGCAGGCAACTCAATGGCACATAACAGCAACAACAACGATTCTTAAGGACACAAGGACCTTTCCCCAGAACCAATAGAGATAGAGAGCTTTTGCTAGAATTTGTAGCTTGAATTTGGACTTTGAATCTCTTAAATGATAAGAGAATCACCTTCTGTTTGTTGAAGCAATCCACTTGTGGAAGCCCTCCTATGGCAGTACTGGAGAACCAAGACAACAGTCCAGTATGGTAGCCACAAGCCAGCTGTGGCTATTGAGCATTTGAAATATGACTAGTTCAAATTGAGACATGCCATATAATACAGATTGAATTTCAAAGGCTTACTACAAAAAATCACTATAAAACACATTCCTTTTTTAAAATGTTGATTACTTGTTGAAGTGAAAATATTTTTTTAAATTTTATTTATTTGTGTGCATGTACCGTCAAGTCAGATCTGACTGGTACAGGAGGAAATTGTCCCTCCTTCTCCAGCAGAGCATCTGGTGGATTTGAACCGCACACCTCTGGGATTGCCCTGCAGCTTGTTGCCACTAGGCCACCAGAGCTCCCTGAAGTGAAAATACTTTATATGTTGTTGTTATAGGCCGTCGAGTCACCTGTGACTCATGGTGACCCTATGTACAACAGGTCTGAAGCCTGCCCTATCCTGAGCCAGTCTCACTGACTCTGCTACACCGCCCCAGCTACTATGTCAGTCCATCTCATCTGGGATCTTCCTCTCCTGTGCTGACCCTCCACCCTTTCAAGCATGGTGTCCTTCTCTAAGGACTGGTCCCTCTTGGCCACATGCCCAAAATGTGTGAGATATAGCTTCAAAATCTTTGCCTCCAAGTAACAACTTGGCTTCACCCTTCCAGGACAGACGTGTTAGTTTTTTTGACAGTCCATGGTATGTTCAATACTCTTCTCCAGCATGACAACTCAAAAGCATCAGTTCTTCTGTCATCCTTAGTCATTGTCCAGCTCTCTGATGCATAGCAAGTAATTGTGAAGATCATGGCCTGCATCAGGTGCACCTTAGTTCCTAGACTGACATTGTTGTTCTTCAGTGTTTAGGAGAAGTCCCTGACAGCAGACTTCTTCAATGCAGTTTGTCCTTTGACTCCCTGACTTTTGGTGCTAAGCGTGTTGACTGTAGAGCTGAGCAAGCTGAAATTGTTAAGAATATCAATTTCTTCTCCATCTATCATAGCCAGTTGACCCAATGGTGAGGATCTTCTATTTGGTTGATTTTTATATGCCTAGGTTATAGCTGAGATTAATAAAGAGTAAGCTTCTACAATGCATTATAATTATCACCTTATATGTCTGTGAAGGTCTGGTGTCAAAGTCTATAGGAAGTTGCATTGCTAACCCAAAGATCAGACCTCTTTGATAGTTCAAATCCACTAGTGGCTTCTCTGGAGGGCCAGTTATAAGTTGGTTCCAACTCAGTGGCAATGAATTTTGAGTTTTATTGGATATATGCCCCCCCCCGACTGTTAGTATGCCAGAGGAAAAAACCCTTTTTTAAAATCTCTATTATTATTATTATTATTAATTTTAATGAAAATTTACAGAGATTTTGGATTTCCATTCATTCATTGTTGTACTTTCTCCCTGCTCCCCACCACCCCGACTACACTCTTCTCTTTGAAAAGTAAAAGAAAAATTCTTTCATTGTTTTACAATCCCTCCCCCCAGGTCCACTCCACTATGCAGCCTTCTTTCTGGCCTCCTGTCATGACAATAATGCCTAATCATATATCCCTTTTAAACAGTTCTCTCTCTCTCTCATCTGTTTCAATTCATTATACATCATTTATCTAATTTTTCTCAGTCTCCCCAGCAACCCCTATGTCAATCCCGTTTTACAACAGTGTCACTATGCAGTATCTGTTCTTTTATGACTGAGATATTTCACTCAGCATAATGTCCTCCACGGTCATCCATTTTTAATAATATTTGATGAGTTCCTTGTATTTCAATGCAGCATAGTATTCCATTGTGTGAATATACCACAGCTTCTCTATCCATTCGTTTGTTGATAGGTACATCTCTGTCTTATCACTCCTTGATTCACCTTTGAGAGTGAACCAACTTTGGGTCTCCAAGGTCTCCAAAGAGCAGAAAATAGGCCATGGGAGCACAAGGCTGTGATCATCTCTCTGAAAGGGCGAGAGTAAGTAAGAATAACACAGCCCCTCACCACTCCAGAGCAGAAAGCAGATCAGGAGGCCGTAGCCCAGCTCCATGGTGCCTATAGAGCCCTATCAGCTGCAAGAATTTTGTTTATTCATTGCTGACTCACAGGTTCACAGTTATGATACCAACAATGGGGTTTATTAGGAAAAGAAGTTGGAGAGTGGGGAACGCAAAGAATATCACACAAAATAAGTCCAGGTTTTGGCCCAACATTTCCACGTCACAGTTCCTCAGTTAGTCCAGGCTCTGGTTTCAATTCAGCAGTCAGCTTTTCCTCCCATCATCAAAGGCAAGAACAGCAAAAGTACAGCTGTGGCCAGCACAAATGCAAGAAACCTCAGGTCACACCTTGCCTCAGTTTCTCCACAGCAGTGCCAGTCTCTCCACCACCAGTCTCCCCTCAAGTCTAGCTGCTCAGTGTGGGAAGCACTCTTTCAATTATCCTAGTCCCACAGCTGATGCTAATTTGCAAGACTGTGTTCCTGCAGTTAAGGTGGCTGGAGGCCAGAGTCTAAATGGTAAAAAAACACCAACTTTTAGACTACCACCACACAAAACTATAAATCACATGGAAGGAGACTCCTCATCTTTCTTCCTAAAAGTCACTGGTGAATTTGAACCACCAGGAAGGCATCATCTTCGGGTTAACAGTGCAACTCCCTACAAAATACACCCACCAAACTTCTCCTATCAAAGAGTTTAGAACAAAGTACAGATTCAATACATGTTTATCTAGTTGCATTGACTTGAATTAGATGAAATAATGCAAAAATTGAAACAATATTATTGAACAATACTATTCTGAAGATATAGCAGATCATTTGCTCTTATGAAGAATCGCCATGTAGAGTTGATCTTTCAATGTTATTTTCCTAGCCATGACAATTTTATCCTTTACCATGTAGATGGATGAGAATATGCAAATGGGGTATGTTAGCCTATCCGTCGGGGGATTGGCCATCTACCAATCCACAAGAGATTGGCTAGTCTCACCATTAAATTGAACAATTCAGCAGGAAGAGAATGACACTTCCCTGCCACCACTGAGAAACCTCACCACCAGGAAAAGAGCAAGCAAGAGGACCACCAGCCATAGCAGCCACAGCAGAGAAATGGACCTGACATGAGCCAGAGGCCTGACATGAGATGAGACCTTGGGAATGCTAACTCATTGGAAATGAAGCTAAAAGCCTTTGCCCAAGTGTTTTGGGAAACTAGGTTGGGGGGGCATAATCTGCAGAACTGAAAACTTTGTAACACTGGCCTGAAGCTGTGAGGCTCAAGGCTGAGGTGCCTGTGAGCTCATTTCAGGAATCATCCTGACTATTCTGCTTCTAACCTGGATTATAACCTTTTGACTTCCCTAACATGGTTCTGTGTGGTCTGTAAGCTATTGCATCAGATTTTGGACCCAGCAAAGCAGTAAGATTGATGTTGAGATGAGTAGAATGAGGTATGGGAATGTGGGGGCATGCTTGACCTCATGGGAATTGATTTTGTGTTAGTGATATTGACAGGGACAGTTCCCTTTGTGAAGTTGGTAAAGGTCAGACATGACCATCTCCACGTGGTTCTTGCTCTTTTTACATACCATTTATGTCAAATCCATTGTTAAAAATAAGCTTTATATGTTGTGGGTTTTTTAGATTTTAATGAAAGTTTATAAAGAACTTGGATTTCCATTCATTCATTGTTGCACATTTTCCTTCCTGCCCCCCATTCACTTTTTTCATTGGAAAGAAAGTTCTTTCATTGTTATACAGTCGTCGTCCCTCCCACCCCAGACTACTTTACTATACAACTCTTATTTTGGACTCTTATTTGAGTGGGCAGTGGTCATTGAAAAGGACAAATTTATCCTTTTTGCTTTAGGAGCTGAGTATTATGATAAGACCAGCCAAAGGGAGAAAGAAGATGATAAAGTCATTCCTGGTGAAAGTCATACCTACATCTGGCAGGTCCTGAGAGAGAATGGTCCAATGGCCTCTGACCCACCATGTCTGACTTATGCCTATTTTTCTCACGTGGATCTAGTTAAAGACCTGAATTCAGGGCTCATTGGAGCCCTGCTGGTATGTAAAGAAGGTAAGTGACAAGATTAAGATTAAATAAGCAAAGTACAAACATCTGGGTTTATTTATAAAGTATAACACTTGTATTTTTTTTTCTTCATCTTACTGTAGGGGTGAAAACAGTAACCACTGCAGTTGCAAAAAGCCAAGGAAAGGCGTTTATTTTGGCATACTGAGTAAAACAAAAAAGACATAAAGAAAGGGAACTTGGGACTGCCAGCAGAACAACTCTTAAGATGCAATGGCTGCATTTTCTTTGGAATCTGTACAAGTTTAGATAAGAGTTCACCTTCCATTAACATACTAAAGAAGAAAGATGCCCACACATTTGACTCACAGGTTTTCCTTGGTATGCTTTTCAAGACATGGGATATTCACAAGCACAGTTGTTAGGTGTTGAATCATCTGCAACCACAGCAACCCTATGAATAGCAAGTCTATGCCCTGCCCTGTCCTGCACCATCCTCACCATCTCTATCATGCTCGAGCCCCTTGTTGCAATCACTGTGTCAGTCCGTCTTGTTGAGGATCTTCCTCTCTCTCTCTGATCTTCCACCTTTCCAAGCAGGATGTCCTTTTCCTAAACTGGCCCTTTCTGACAACATGCCCAAAGTAAATGAGACAAAGTTTCATCATCTTTACCTCTAGGGAGTACCCTGGTTGCACTTTCTCCAAGACAGATTTGTTTCTTCTTTTGATATGAATCAGGTGCACCTTGGTCTTTAAATTGACACTGTGGCTCTTTAAAACCTTTAAGATGTCTTTTTTTTAAATAAAATTTTTATTTTTTTACTGACTTAATTAAAAAGTTCATATACACTGTCTTTTCACACCGAATCTTTCCCATTTTCTTTACCCACCCCTGCCTCCACCCATCAAATTGTGTGAACCTATGGTTAACTACCCCCTCCTGATATCCTCATCCTTCTGCTCCCCACTATTGCCCTTGGATAGTCATATACATTCTACAATAATGGTCTTATACAGTATTTGTCCTTATGGGACTGAGTTAGTTCACTTAGCATAATGCTTTCCAGTCCCTTCCAAATGAGGTAATAATTTACAAAATCATTGTTCCTGCTTGCTACATGTTGTTGTTGTTATGTGCTGTCGAGTCGTTTGCGACTCATAGTGACCCTATGTACAACAGCCCTAAACCCTGCTCTATCCTGTGCCAAACGCACTGCCTCTGACACACCCATCCCGATTACCCCAGTCACTGAATCAATCCACCTCATAGAGGGTCTTCCTCTCCTGTGCCGTCCCTCCACCTTCCCAAGCATGATGTCCCTCTCCAAGGACAGGTCCCAAAAAAAAAAAAAAAGACAGGTCCCTCCTTACAACATGTCCAAAGTATGTCAGACGAAGGCCCAGAATCTTTGCCTCCAAGGAGCAGCCTGGTCTCACCCTCTCCAGGATGAATCTGTTTTCTTGGCAGTCCATGGTACATTCAATACTCTTCTCCAGCACCCCAGCTCAAAGGCATCAATTCTCCTTCTATCCTCTCTAGTCATTGTCCAACTCTCCAATGCATAACAAGTGATTGCGAAGACCATAGCCTGTATCAGATGCACCTTAGTCTCCAGAGTACACCATTGCTCTTAAGTACTTTGGAGAGGTCCCTAACAGCAGACTTTCCCATTGTAATATGTTTTTTATTTCCTGGCTGCTGGTGCCAAGAGTGTTAACTGTTGAGCCAAGCAAACTGAAGCTTACCACGGCGAGTCAATATTGTATTGAAAGTATTTGCTAGGGTAATATAACAAGAGAAGTAAATAAAATGTATCCAGATCAGCAAAGATATGGTTGAACTATCACTATATGTAGATGATATGATAGTATACACAGAAAACCCCAAGGACTCAAGAAAAAAGCTGTTAGAGCTAGTAAACTAATTTAGTAGAGTGGCAGGATACAAGATCAATATCCAAAAATCAGTGGGATTCCTTTGCAGTAACAAAACTCAGAGAAGGAAACCAAGAAATCAATACCATTTACAATAACCAACCACAAACTAAGATAGTTGGGAGTGAACCTAACTAGAAACATAAAATACCTATACAAAGAAAACTACAGCACGTTTTTGGCAAGACACAGTAAAAGACCTGAAGAAATGAGAAAATGTGCCCTGATCATGGATAGGAAGACTCAATATTGTGAAAATGGCAATCCTACCAAATGCAACCTACATGTTCTGCAAAATCCCAATACAGATACCAAATTCATTTCTCAAGGAGATCAAAAGGAAAATTGTTAAGTTAATTTGGAGAGGAAAGAGACCCTGAATAAGCAAAACACTTCTGAAAAACAAAAATAAAGTGGGAGGTATAGCACTCCCTGACCTCAAAACCTACTACAGAGCAGCAGTAACCAAAACAGCATGGTACTGGTACAATGACAGGCACATAGACCAATGAAACAGAAATGAGAACACAGAAATAAACCCATCTATCTATCTATAGTCATCTTATATTTGAGAAGGAAATAAAACCTATCAAATGGAGAAATGACTACCTCTTCAACAAATGGTGCTGACAAAACTAGACTGCTACCATTCGAAAGCTGAAACAGGATTCACATCTCACACCATATACCAAAATCAACTCAAGGTGGATCAGAGACCTGGAATAAAGCCCCGAACCACAAAGTTCATAAGAGACAAACTGGGATCAAGCTTAGAAGGCCTAGTCTATGGCATAAAGGGACAGCCAAATACAGGCAGAAATGCACAATCTAAAGAGGATAAAACTGATGAATGAGACCTTCTAAAGATTAAATCTCTGTGCTCATCAGAAACTTTTTTCAACAGGGTGAAAAGAAAACCTACTGACTGGGAACACACATTTGAAAATACCATCTCAGACAAGGGTCTCATAATGAAAGTTTATAGAATACTCCTGGGCCTCCACAAGACAAAGACTGATAACATAATTACAAAAGGCAAAAGACATGGAAAGAATTATCACGGAGGAAGGTATTCAAATGACCAACAAACATATGAAGAAATGCCCCAAATCATTGGCAATAAAAGAGATGAAAATCAAAACCACAATGAGATACCATTTCACTTCAGTAGCAGTTGCAAGATTTAACAAGACAGCATGTAATAAATGTTGGAGAGGATGTGGTGAGAAAGGAATTCTTATACATTATTGGTGGGATTGTAAAATGGTACAACCACTTTGGAAGGCAATTAGGCGCTTCCTCAAAAAGCTGAACATAGAAATTTCATATGACCCAGCTATGCTACTACTTGGAATATACCCTGAAAAAATGAGAACTGAGGTACAAACAGAGACTTGCACATCATGTTCATAGGAACATCATTCACCATCACAAGAACATTGAAACAGCCCAAATGTCCAACCACAAATGAATGAGAAGTTGTGATACATTCATACAACGGAATACTATGCAGCATGCAGGAGAAATGATTTTATAATTTGCTACCTAACATGGGAGGGACTGTAGAGCATTATGCTGAGTTAACTAATTCAGTACCAAAAGGACAAATACTACATAAAACCATTATTGTAGAATGAGTATAAGGATCCAAGGGGAGGCATGGTGGAAGCAGAGGCGTGAGGATGGGCTGGAGGGTGGGGCGGTAATCACAGTGTTGCACAATTTAATGGGTGAGGAGATGTGAAGAAAATGGGAAGGATCTTTTGTGAAAAACAATGTGTTCAAACTTTGTAAATAAATCTATTTTAAACTAAAAAAAATAGGCAAAAGAAAAAGAGTGATAATCCAATTACCAAATGGACAAGAGACTTAGAAAGATTTTTCGCAGATGAAGACATTCAAATGGCCAACAGACACATGAAGAAATGCTCAAAATCACTGGCAGTAAGATAGATGAAAATGAAGACCTCAGTGAGATACCATCTCACCCCAGTAGCAGTGGCAAAGCTTAGCAGGGCAGCAAGTAATAAATGTTGGGGAGGATGTGACTTCCCCCCCACACTAGCTTTTTTACAAAATTCTAATACAAATTCAAACAAATTCTTTCCATTTCCCTCACCCCCCATCCATCAAATTGTACAACCCAATGATTAATCCCCTCTTCCCCCTGTATATCCACATCCCTCTGCTACCAGCCTTGCCCACCCCTCCTGGATCCTTATACTCATTCTACAACAATGGTCTTATACAATATTTATCCCCATGGTACTGAGTTAGTTCACTCAGCATAATGCTCTCCAATCCTCTCCCCCAAGCCAGGTAATAGTTTACAAAATTATTGCTCTAAAAATTATGAGATGGCATAGGACAGAACACGTTTCCAATCTGTTGTTCATAGGGTCACTCTGAGTCTCAACTTGACAGCACCCAACAACAGCAAACTAACCTTAGTAGAATAGCCTAGCCAGAGATCTTAGAACTATCTTTCTCATGGTTGTCGTTATTGTTGATTGCCTTTGAGTCAGGCATGACTCATAAAGACCCTGTGAACAAAAGGTTTGAAGCCCCTATACAACTATTAACATTTATCAAAGTTTCTGGAGGCATGTTATTTAGGAAGTGGATTTACTCATGAACATGGGGGAAAAATCCTAAAAAAAATTAACAAATAAAGATCAGGAATATATTAAAAAAAGGAATGTACCTTGAACAACTTAGGCTTATTGTTGAAATATATATCTTGTATAACATTACTAAGACAACCATAGTCATTTTCACTTTAAAAATGTTTAAATAAAAATGTAACTACCGGGAGGCAGAGAGGTGAGAAGGAAGATGAGGATGAGGAGGTGAAAAAGCAGAAGGAGAAGCAGAGGAGGAGGGACCGAATGCGAGACCGGGCTGCTGACAGGATCCAGTTTGCCTGTTCTGTGTACAAGTTCTGCAGCTTCGACGACGAGGAGATCCAGAAGCACCTACAGAGCAAATTTCACAAGGAGACCTTATGCTTCTTCAGCACCAAGCTGCCTGACAAGACGGTTGAGTTCCTCCAGGAGTACATCGTGAACAGGAACAAGAAGATAGAGCGGCGTCAGGAGATGATGGAGA